TTCAAACTTCATTTTTGTTTTTTGAACCTCTCTATATCTTAGTTATTTATTGACTTATTTATGAGTATTTAAAGTTAATTCGTAAATTTTTCAAACTTTTTTGCTGTATCGTTTTTCCTTTGATTGAGTGTATATATATATATATATATATATATATGTGTATTATGTGTGTGTGTATTGTTATTGTATGATAAATATTATTACATAATTATACATACAAGTATTTTCTTTATATAAATATTTTTCCATAAAATGATATCAAATGATACGCGCACATATTGTATATATGTAAACAATACAAAAAGATAAATATAGTAGGCTAATAAGAATCAACAACGATAAACGGTGCAATTATTTAGTGAACAATCAATAATCAAATGTTAGATTGATGTCTTCTTTATTTTGAATTTTCGATTTTCTTTGGAGTTCTTCTCAGCAAAAATGATAAAAGTATAATTAGCTCACATGTCCATAATGTTTAAGTTTACCCGCAAATTGACAAAGATACGTTGTTTATCTGACATTTTGTTAAAATACTGCGCCGTTTATCGTTGACTCTCATTAGCCTACTATATTTATCTTTTTGTATTGTTTGAAATTCGAGAGTAAGATATAATTATTGTTATTGTATATATGTATATATGTATATATACATATTGCAAAATATATAATTTTTTAATAAGCAATTATGTATTTTTTTTATACCAATCTATATACATCTTATTACTTAATGCACAAATTATATTTATTTATTACCTAATTTCCATCGGCGATCATCATCAGTAACCATATCTACTTTATTTAGTAAATTGTTTTTAAACTCCTCCACATTTTTTGATTCTGGAAATTTACCGGCAATACCAGAAATAACAATTTCTTCACCAGGTTCAGGTATCTTGTAACCTTTCGTAAATTTCTTTGTAGTCATCGTTCCCAAGTTCTTCAGATTTCGTCAATTTAAAGAAAAAAACAATATTTTTAAAATAAATTATTAAATTATTAAAATATTATTTTATTAATTGAGAGATTTCTCAATTAATTCATCAATTATAAAACATATTTACAATTAATTTTCTTATATTCTTGCACCGTACAGTAATTTATGATTTGTTTTATTATAGACAACTTAATGAGCTTATCAACCGATTCTGTGAACGATGATTCGCAACTGAAAGACAAGACAGCGGAAAACAGTTTTTATAACGAAGTACATCCCTACCTTCTATGAATTTCATTATTGTTACTTTGAACTTCCTTTAAACATTTGCATTACTAGTGAGAAATAAATCAAAGCATTTTTCTGAAAACCTAATTTACTATCTTTCAAGTATACTATATATATTTATCATAAGAGACTTTTTAAATTTCATAAATAATTATAAAATAACAATGGACTTTTGAGCATTATTTATGTGCGTGCATAATGCAATGAAAATTATATACTATTTACGTTTTAATTATGCATTCTTGTTAATTTTTTTTTTTTCAAAAGAGAGTACTTTATTATAAAAACACAGGTTGAATTATGATAAATTTTATTGATACAATGCAGAATCTAATAACATTATACAGAGAAGCTACAAATTAATTTATTCATAATCAAAATCAAGATCTTAGATAATAAATATTATTAAACTATATCAAGTTTTACAAATATGTTCATAAATTTAACGTTTATATATTTTTTAGATATAATTTAGATATAATTTTTAAGACAGAATAAAAATATTCTTTATAAAATATTATTATTATTTGTAAAATAATAATTGTTAAAATGTTCTATTTCAGATCTTTTCTCTTATGTAACTTATAATAAGTTATATAAAATTGATTAAACCGTTATAAAACGAAATATTATGAAACTAATCTCAATCTTCATTATGTATAAAAGAATAATTTTTGAAGACAATGAAAAGATGAAAAGATGTGTATAATATATATATATATATGTGTGTGTGTGTATGTGTGTGTGTGTGTGTATATATAACAGCTTAGCCAAATAAAAAAACATATTGTTTGATATCATATTTAACTATATGTGTTACAAATAAAATCTCTTATAATGTTCTTTTCCTGTTCTCGTATAATGAATATTCGGCATGGCAGGAACACAGAAGTCAAGGGTGGCCGGATATCATCAGAATATATTATACATGCTATCCTCTGTTAGTTACATCGACGTATACTGTTATGCACGAACGTGATACTGTTGCAATATCACGTAGCTACAAGTCATTTACATTATGTTTTTATAAAAAAATTGTGACATTTTGTTCCGATAAAGCATTACCAAAAGGAAAGTATAGAATTACTTTTAAGAGCTGATATTATGTACAACTATTTTTTAGAAAGTGATATAAATAGTATAATATATAATTAAGATATATAAAATAGCATAATACTATAATTAAGATATATTTTTATTGTCTTCACATTCATTTTAAACTAAACTATAAAAATACAAAAGTTTTACTTTGATGTAAAAAGAAATATATTATAT